TTTTTTTTTTTTTTTTTTTTGGGAAATAACTATTTTGTTTGACTTGTCTGTGTGTAGTGTGAATATTATATATATTTTTCGCATTTGAAGCTGTAAGTACTTTGTTTGACTCATTGTTAAAGTGTGAATGCCTATATTTGCTGTATTTTGCTGCGTTGAAATGTATAAGTACCTTTTTCAAATATCGTGATTAGTTAAGGCTTTGAATTATTACTTGTTAGTAATGCTGATTAACTGATTAGAGCCTACTGTTGACAATTATGATTGAAGAAATGCAATTAAAAGAATATTTAAAGTAAATGGAGATGAGATCAGCTAACCTTCAATCCTCGCGGTTTAAAGTTCAGTAATAGAGGAATGTCTGAAATCATCAAGGAATGAGCTTTTTGGCATGAAATTAGAGTGAAGGTGGAAACAAACAAATTAGATTCTTTATTTTTTCCGAATAGGAATTCTGGGACTTACTACTGTAACATGAAATTTCTCTTTTGCTCTCAACCTGTACTTGTTCTTGCATTCCTTGAGCTACTCCAAAATGCTTTCTTTTTTGTCTGTTGATATTCCGTCAACCTCCCAACATGTTCCACAATCATTTATCTCTTAACAGTCTCCTGCAAAACTAGATCATGAGTTATAGCATTTGAGACGGCCTTCTGTCGTTAGGCTTTTATTTTGATTACCGAGAAATCTCCAAGAGATAGTGGTGCACAGTCCGAAATTTGGTGGACAATGGGCCGTCTTGCTGCTCTTCTCCACTTAAATACCAGTTTTTTGTCTGGGGCAGGTTTGAACCCGTGACATATGCCTAACCCACACATTACGCACTATGCTCTTACCACTAGACCAAAGCCCTGGGGGCGCTTCCCTCATTAGTTACTCTTCCATTTTTCTCTTTTGTGGATTTCAACTTGTATAAATGCATCTTTTGTTTCCTATTTCGCGCAAGTCAAATTGTGGTAGTCTTGGTTGAGTTACACCTTCATTTTTTTTTTCTGTTTCATGGATTTCAGCTTTGTATAAATGCATCTTCTTAATAATAAATCCTACCAAATTTTGGCGGTCTTGGTTGAGTCAAAGATACCTTAACTTCCAAGGGTAGCATTTGCTAATTCAGCTCTGTGGTGATATATTTATTTGGATAATTTTATAGAGCTCGTTTAGAATGGTCTTGCTTCAATGAATCCATATTCTTTTGTCAGTGAGGGTTAATCTATTCTTAGATTTCCGTGGCCTCATTCTCATGTTCCATAAGCATTTTCCTTTCCGCGGTCCTTTCCGTTGATAGTCAGATTGCTGCTTCTTTCTCCCCGTCCATAAAATCTCAGCTGTGCACTTGGGCAGGTTGGCTGGTTATGACTTCAGGAAACCAAAAGAAAGCTTGTCTTACATACAACCGAAGTTGCATTATATTGCTGAGATGATTTTTAGGTAGCTTTCCCTCTAGTTTTTATCATTAAAGCTCTGAAGTTCTTTATAAAAGAAAAAGGAAAATCCTGAGTTTTATTAACAATAGTGTCTCATTATACTACAAAATTTTGCGTGACATGGCCGTAAAAATCTCTATTTACTTTCTCACTTGGAGTTAAAGAACTGGGGCTTTTTAGGATAAAGTATGTTATAGATGGGAGCCTTTTGATATCTAGAGATTTTGGTGTTTTGCTAGATCTGAGCACTTGCCAAGTTAGGAATTTCAGGATATTTAGTAGTTTTAAGTGTTGTTTGGTAAAACTGAAACTAATCAATGGAAACTATGAGCTAATCTAATCCAATACCACTATACTGATAAGTAATAAGCCAATAGCGTTTCTTAATGTGAATGCTCATTGGAGTTCAGAAGAAACTTGTTTCTCCTTCAGAAAAATAGAATTTCTCTTCCACCAACTTTCTGCTTATAGTTTTGGCATTTTGATTTAGTTTCGTTAGAAAAAAGAAAGCAGTCTGCTCATTAATGGTTTTCAAGAAGTTGTTTTCTAATGTCTCCTTTAGCTTATGTACATCAAATTCAGCATTTTCTTCAACCAATATATATGTTATCTAATACCATATCCAACATCGGCATAGTTCTGCTGCCAGAGATGGATTGTCGATCTTAGAATCAACATACTCGTTGGCTGCACCTTTGCCATTTTTTGACATTTTATTATGTAAACATACAGGAAAATGAGCTTGCCTACCCAATAAAGAAATAGGGAGGAGCGGTCGGTTTATTGTAGCTTACATTTTAATGCTCATGCTCTCTGGGTAAGAAGCAGGTTTGCCTTCTGAATATTCTACACTTAACTTACCTAAACTTTGTAAGAGAACAAGTCTAGATCGGCCGTGAAACCCTTTTTTTTAAGGATAAGTCTACATCAGATGCGATACATCCTAGAGAACACGACCAAATAATGAATCCTTATACAACAAGGAAATGCTTGACCGAGACGTTTGGTTTGAGAAGTTTTTCAGAAGTCTTTCATAACCCAAAAACTAAGTTTGAAATTTTGTTTTGGTTTGTCCTTTTTCCTGGAAAATGAAACCGGGAAGCCAGTTTTTTAACCTTAAGTGAGCTCTAACCAAGAAGTGTTTGGACGATGAGATATTTCTGTTGTGTGTTTGTGTATATATATTTTTTATGACAGTTATTGTATTGATGTTGCGCTGATGGACAATGAGTGTTTGATTCTCTTTTTACACATCTTTTCATTTTTACTTATCCAGCAATCAGCACCCTCAGTTTACTTTTTACTTTTCTTTGGTGTCCTGCACGCTGTGGCAGTTAGAAAACTATGTTCATTTACTGGTTGCCTTGGTTATTTGACTGCACATAATCATGGTGCCGGAGAGTAGGTAAATTGCATATGAATATCAGTCACCCAACCTTCTCCTGTTCTGGCCATTGTTTTTACTTAGATTGGCATATACAACAGAGAGAGATTTGCTAACCCCCCGGGGAAAATGAACCTAAATAGTCGATCTACCTATTGTGAAGTAAAGAAACTTCAGTTCAGAAAAAAGAAGAGAAAAATTTAATCTTTATGGGAGGTCTTTCCCATAGGCGGATCCAAGATTTCGAGAGGATGGGTGCACTGTTGTGAAGAGGTGGATCTAGAATTTACACTTGACGGGTTTAACTTTTGTCTCTTACCACGAACCCACTACACTTTTGAAATTATAGGTTCAAAATTATATTCTTTTTAAAATTTTAGTAAGTTTCACATATATATCTATACTCCGTACCGAAAACAAGACCGTTTGGAGTGAAATTTGAGCTGCCAATGTCACTTGTAGAGGTGCACCCAATAATAATTGCATCATAGGAGTCTTTGAGCATGAGTGCACACACATATATTTAAATAATTTTGAAGAAATATGACATTGTTATACATGATTTAGGGAGAGGAGTATGGGTTCACGTGAACCCATACCCCTTTAACCTAGATACGCATCTGGTCTTTCCTATGTGGGAACTGCATTATCGAACAACTGTAACTTCACCATGAGCTTGTATTGAGTATACGGTATGGAGAGAGGATTAACTTGAATTGATATAAGTAAGTTCTTATATCGGATAAAGCCTAATTCCACTGTCCTTTGAAGATCGGACAATAGTGAAGACGGACTTTCTTGCAAAACAAATGATTTCCTATGAAGGACATCTTGCCAAAAGAAACAAAAGATCATCAGAGGATGCTCCTTTCATGTTCATTATAACCATATTTAGCATCAAACTGTTGCGTGTTGCCTGTTTTAGTTCACTGCCTTCTTTTGAGTAACTGCTTTCATTGAGCCGAGGGTCTTATCGGAAACAGCTTCTCTACCTTTGCAAGGTAGGGGCAAGGTCCGGTACACAGGTCTGCGCACACACTATTCTCCCCAAACTTCATTTGTGAGATTACACGGGTATGTTGTTGTTGTTGTTGTTGTCTTCTTTTAAGTAACCCGGTTTTAGCTCAGTGCCTTTGCAATCGCTTCTTCACCAAACTCGAACTCTTGGGTTATAGAAATGGAGCTCTTCTTTTCTTTTGTTCTCTTTTTCTCAAAACGCTGCTCTCTCTCCATACATAATTTGAAAGAAAAGAACATTTAACATAGAACATTCAAACAAACTAGAAATATCAGTTCAACAAGTAAACTAATCGACCTTAAATTTTGGTAACTCACAGAAATTAACAAATTGCAGAGATTTGAGCTACATAAAAGTAGAAATTGCAGGCAAACTTGCAAACTCAGTAAATTACGACTCAACAATCTCAATTTTAACGATTTGTCCATCATCAAATGGATCTCTTTTTGGAGCTGCTGGTGGTGCTGCAACCCTAGGTGGTCCTCTTCCCTTCTTATTCCTTGGCCTTGCCTAAACGAATTCATAGATGCACAAAGAGTTAATATCAGTTTAAAATAGACATCAAAATATTAAAATGACCAAGTTTAAAAACTTTATCCAATCAATTATGTCTCAATCTCAAACATTAGGCCATCCATATAAACCCCTTTATCTCTTTCTCTATTAAGGTTCCTTTCATTGCAATACTAGTAAATATACTACAACAACAACATACTGAGTGTAATCCCAAAAGTGGAATCTGGGGAGGGTAGTATATACGCAAATGTTATTTTATGAAGGTACATAGGTTGTTTCTGATAGATTCTCGGCTCAAGGAAAGCATATAAACACAACAATTTTGAAAAAGAAATGTGTTAGTGAAGAAGCCATGGAAAAGAGAAGCAGTAACCACCTCCGTAGCAATACTAGTAAATGATTGTTTAATTAAATTAACGGTTACCTACATCCTTACACAAACACATAAGTTTTCAACTAAACTAACAAAAGGGTACCGTAAAAAAACGAAGTGCTAAAATTTTAAGCACTTTAAGAGTGAAGCCAACTCACATTGCCAAAGGAGTGATTAAAGCGCTTGCCTTTTGCAGTTTTCTTGTCGCCTCTGCCACAGTAAACTGAAATCAAATGCATAAGAATATCATCATTGTCCTGAATTAAATTGCATAGTAGTAACCAAAAAAAAAAAAATCAATATTTGGGTGGTTTAATAATTGTAAGGTTAAAAATTATGGTTCTACAACTGCTCCATACTCGATGGAAAGTTTGCAAAGGTGACATCCGTATATACTGATGCAGAAGAAGTTGCCGAAACTGAGGCGCCGGATATGGAAAGAGAACGCGAAAAAGATAGATTAAGAGAGAGAGCCATAGGAACTGCTCCAAGTAACAACGACGCCATTGCAGTTGAAGTGATAGAGTGAGATAGGATTAAGCTTGTGGCCTTCAGAACCCTTCTAGATAATGTGTAGAGGGATAAAACGAGGGGGTGAAAATTAGAAATAGTCTGATTTACGACCGATAAATGAGAAATAGCCACAATTTTAAAATTAATTAAAATTTAGTCATTTTATTTTATGTAAAGATAAAATTTGAACAAAAATACCCTTAAAAATCCGGAAATATTCCAGCACAATATGCTGGAGTTCGAATTTTTTACATATGAAATTTTATAATATGCTGGAGTTCCAACATAATATGCGGAAAGTTTATATGCAGGAGCTTCATAATCCCGCATATTATGCTGGAACTTTCCGTGTGCTAGAATTCCAACATAATATGCTAGAAGTTTATACGAAGGAGCTTCATAATCCCGCATACTATGCTGGAATTTTTCGTGTTTCAGCAAAACAGTGACTATTTTTCAACGACTTTGCAAACGCTGGTTATTTTTTGATTACCAATTTGAAACTGGTTAGCTCGTGCTATTTTCACGACAGTCAGTTGTTATTCAATGGTCCTGGAAACTGGAGTCTTTAAAAAAATTTACTAATGCTCCAAAATTTAATCTTTTGATAAGTTAAATTTCTTTTAAAGTATTTGACGTATTAAAACATTTAAATATTATTTATTTGTTAATAATTAGTGGAATGTTAATTATGTGTGATATTTATTAAAGAAAGATAAAGAGTAGTTTATACAATATTATGTTTGCAAAAACTTGAAAAGTAATAGATAAATATGGATTGAAAGAAGTATTATTAAAATGGAAGTAGGGATTCATTGAGTGTAAAAGGGCAACGTAAAACAAAAAATTACTTTTGAAATAAAACAATAAAAAGAAGAAGAGTATTGTAGAGAAAAGTAGAGAGAGAATTCTTATTGATTTGGAATGAATTACAATGGAATAGAACCCCTTTATTTATAGGGAAAGAGTGACTTAGCCACCAAGTAATAATCTCTAAATTCTCTCTAAAATATAGATATTCACCTTAAAAACAATTTTATTTACAACACTCCCCCTTAAATATTTATTCAACAGATAATGTGTCTCATTAAAACTTTAAATAAAATAAAGCCCAGTGAATAAAAATCTAGAGAAGGAAAAAGAGTACACATGTTTAGAAATACGCTTTTTCATTGCCTCGTTAAAAACCTTGCAAGGAAAATCCAGTTGGACAAAACCTTGTAAGGGAAAAAGAGTACAACGCGTATTAACTCCACCTGATGAGAGCATCAATTCACATCCTTGAGTCTTCGCATCCCAAACTTGTATACTAATTTCTTAAAGGTTGATGTCGATAGAGATTTGGTGAACAAATCAGCCATATTATCACTTGAACGAATTTGTTGCACATTGATATCACCATTCTTTTAAATATTGTGTGTGAAAAATAACTTTGGTAAAATGTGTTTTGTCCTATCTCCTTTTATGAATCCTCCTTTTAGTTGGGCTATGCATGTTGCATTGTCTTCATACAAAATCGTGGGTTGTTTGTCACACTTCAAAATATATTTGTCTCGAATAATATGTATTTTAAACCTCAACCACACACATTCTCGACTTGCTTCATGAATAGCAATTATCTCAGCATGATTAGATGACGTAGCCATGATAGGTTGCTTAGTCGATCGCCAAGATATGACATCGCCTCCACATGTAAACACATAGCCTGTTTGAGATCGAGCCTTGTGTGGATCAGATAAATACTCAGCATCGACATAACCAACAAGACCGGGACTGCAATTATTTCCATAAAATAAGCTCATATTGGTAGTCCCTTTTAGATATAACAATATATGTATGATTTCATTGCAATGTCTCCTTGTTGTAGCATGATACATTAGTGTACCAATTGCACTAAGATATGGTACTTCAGGACCAAGTAGATCTTCATTCTTTTCTTGAGGTCGGAACAGATCCTTATTCACATCAAGTGATCGAACAACCATCGGAGTACTTAATGGATGTGCTTCATCCATGTAAAACCGTTTCAATACCTTTTCTGTGTAGGTAGATTGATGAACAAAAATCCCATTTGCCAAATGTTCAATTTGCAAACCGAGACATAATTTTGTCTTTCCAAGATATTTCATCTCGAATTCCTTCTTTAATAATCAATTACTTTTTGGAATTCTATAGGAGTTCCAATAAGATTTATGTCATCAACATATACGACAAGTACGACAAACTCCGATGTTGTTTTCTTTATAAAAACACATGGACAAATGACACCATTTATATAATATTCCTTTAATAAATACTCATTAAGGCGGTTATACCACATTCATCATGATTGCTTTAGACCATACAAAGATCTTTGCAATTCAATTGAAAATATTTTTCGGGACTTTGAATTATGTGCATCGGGCATTTTAAATCCTTCGGAATTTTTCATGTATATCTCATTAT